GGGCTATAAATAAGGTAACTATAGCTATATTTCATTATAACTCCAATTAATAAGGTACTTAAAACTTATAACCTTACTTACTAAGTCCCATGATCCTCCAAGCATCCAGACGTCGATGCTAAGGACCACCTCCACAACAATGACCTGGACCACCACCGGATTGTATCCACCCGCGCCGTATAACTGCATCAGCCACCCGGCAGGGTGTGCGGAATAGCGAGTGCTTCTTGTGCAAGGCCTGGGACAGGACTTCAGGAAAGGCTTCGTCCAGTGTCTTCGGTTAAGTAGAGGCTTTGCAGGGCTGCAGCTACTCTTCGTGAGCTAGTTTCACGAAGCAAGGTGTAGTACCCTAAACCCTAAACCCTAAACACCTAAACCCTAACCCCTTAAACCCTAAACCCTAAACCCTAAACCCCTATACCCTAAACCCTAAACCCTAAACCCCGAAACCCTAAGCCCTATTTGACAGCTCGAGAAGAGAGGGGAGAGGCCACTGGCCAGCCGAGGCGACACGTCAAGTCTTCAGAAGGTCTCGGTAGGTCCTGTCGTATCCAGGGTTTAGGGTTTGGGGTTTAGGGTTTACATTTGGGTTATAGAAAGGGTAACTATGGTTTTGACTAGTTACGTTGTAAGTCCAACTAAGGTACTTCTAAGCCCTAAACCCATGATCCTCAGACCTTCATTGCTTGCTGAGGTAACTCTTTCTTGGGACCCGTGAAGCATGCTCACAAGATGCTTGGTGTCGCAAGTTACCATTATACCATCAGTTTCCCAGTATTCTGATGATTCATATTATGATTATCATTTTTATTATTGTGATTATTATTGTTATTCTTCTTCTTATTATGATTATTAATACGATTTGTAAATACTATACGAGTATTGGGGCTATTCTTATCTTGTTACTACTATGAGTACTACTATTGTTGGTGTCGCAACGGCCGTTTAGGGTCTAGGGGCTTGGGGCTTACGATTTAGGGTCCGCTCACCGCCTTCGCTGCATCAAACTTCGTTTTCGTCCAAGTCAAGGCACAGGAAAGTCACAACGATTGCGGTTTGGATCAGATGGTGAAGGTTTAGGGTCTACGACTCACCAGTGGAGGCCGTCACCCCGGAAAGGGCTCAGAGTGAGCAGCCCAGCTCAACATGTCATCACCTCAGACACACCCGGACACTGAAGAAGTTTGCTCTTCCCCGAAGAAACCGAACCATGCTTTGCCATCTGAAGGAAGCCGAAAAGGATCCCTGGAAGGAACCCCTTTAAAATCCCTTAAGGTAGCCCTTCTTGGTCTTATATGGAGTTTTGCATTTAAGACCCCTGCGACATCAGACTTTTGCAACTCCAAAACTGCTGCCTTCCGAGCTAGAGCTTCCAAGATGCCTCAAGGAAGGGGATTGCTCTGGATGACACCACCTTCTCATTGTGCCCGCAGCTGCTCACGATGAATTGGCCGAATACTCAGGCGGAGTTGAGCTGGGTGTCTTAAGCCTTTGGGGGGGGGGGGGGTCGGCCTTCTTTCCAACAATCTCCCCTATTGTATCACTACGGCTGATGATATAAATCCGGCATTACCCATAATAAGGAATATACCATACTCCCTGTAGTTTAGGGTCCGCAAAGTAATGCAGAATTTATATCATCAACAGCATTGCTATAATGTACAGAGTGTGGCAGTGGGGGCCCTTATATCAATGCCTCTGCTCTATAGATGCATATATTCACACGCGAGGCAGGAGTGCAAGTTGCGAAAAGCGCTGGACAAATGATTAGAGTAGTGTTCCTGAAGATAACAGATGTGATCTTGAATGCCAACCTTACCCTCGCTTTGCGTAGGCGTAGGCTACATGAATGAGGGTTGTTGTCCATCGTCGCCCCTCTTGCTACAAGCATCTATTGTCACCCTTCCTTTTTGAAGGGGGGCCCTGCATGAGGGTTTCCCTAAACCCTGAACCAAAAACCCTGAGAGGACAACCTCACTTCTTTGCGTCTCTTCAAAGCATGGGACGCATCCTGGGACGCCGAGCTCCGTCCTTTGGCTGACCAGGGCCCTTCCTAAAAGGCAACACTTCTTAACCCTACTTAGGGCTCTTTTAAAAGGGACCTTATTATTGAGAGGGTGCATATCCCCAAGGGTACCCCTGAACCCTAAACCCTAAACTCTAAAGCCTCAAACCTAAACGCTAATCCCAAAACCCTAAAACCTAAACCCTAAACCCTAAAGCCTAAAACCTAAACCCTAAGGCCCTAAACCGTGTTCCTGGGCCATCATGAAAAGGGTTTTGGGTGTGGGGCTCTAGGGCTTCTCTAGGGTTCTCTAGGGTTTGGGGCTCACAGGGTTACAGTCCCTACCTAGACCCTTAAGAACCTCCCTTTCTAGGGTTCCTCCTTATGATTTCTTTATATAAGTCCTTAAAAGGGTAGGTTATTTGGGGTTAAGGTGAACCCTAAACAGTACATCCTAAACCCTTAAACCCAAAACTCTGAACCCCAACTACCTAAGCCCTGAAACCCAAAACTCCAAACCCCAAATACCTAAGCCCCTTTTTGGTTTTTGGGCCCTTTCAACTCTAAAAGCCCCAAATCTTTCGTGTCGAGTCTTGGGTTCGGGGTTAAAGGTTTTAGGGTCTAGAGTTTTAGGGTTGTGGGTCTTTAGAGTGTTAGAGTTTAGGGTTTTCGGATTTAGGCTTTAGGATTGAGGGCTCAGCTCGCACAAACCCTAAACCCTAAACACTTAGGGTCTAGGGTTTTGGGGTTTAGAGCCCTAAACCCTAATCCCTTCTTGGCTCCATGCCCAGCAGCCAAGCAACGCAAGGCCAATCGGCCTGGATAGAGCTGCGGAAGTTCGTGCGACGCTGCCTGGATCGCTTGGGTTCCGTCGTTCTTGTTTGCACCCTAAAGCCCCAAACCCTAGAACCTAAAACCCTAAAGCCCAAAAACCTAAAACCCTAAACGCGAACCCTAAAACCTAAAACCCTAAACCCCAAAACCCTAAACCCTAAAACCCTAAAGCCCTAAACCCCTAAGCCCTAAACCCCTAAACCCCAAAAAAACTGAACCCTTAACTCTAAACCCGTAAACCCTAAACCCCTAAAGCCCTGAACCCTAAAGCTCCGGGCAGTTTGGAGTGTGGAAATACTTTGGAGGCCTGAAAAGAGTATGGGCTCCTACGCTTAGACTATGGATGGGTTTAGGGCTTAGGGTTTAGAGTTTAGACTACGGTTGATGATATAAATCCTGCGTTACCTTAAGGACCCTGAGTTGTGGGAATTGTGGTATATTGATTATGGGTACTGCAGGATTTCTATCATCAACTGTAGGGATGGGTTTTGGGTTCAGGGTTTCGGGTTTAGGCTGGGGATGGGAAACCCCAAAGGAAATCTTTACGGTGCATGTGGCAGAGAGTTGGTTCATCCCTTGGTCCCGTCAGAAAGCCTAAGGACTGAGATCATCACCCTAAGCCCAGCCCTCAGGCCTAAACCCTAACTGTTAAATCCGACACCGTTTTGCTGGCTTTACTGCACCATTTCGAACTGTTAGCTTCGGTTGTGCAGTGCCTAGACCGACTCCTTTTCACTTAGTCTATTCTCCGTTTCCTTTCATCCTTACAGCAAAATGTACCGCAAAGCCTTATGCTAACTATGCAGGCCCCTCAATTAGGTCAGGGGCATCGGGCGGCCTGAGATCTGCGCGTTCTTCACTAGGCCCCATGCGAAAAGTTGCAACAAGGTCAGAACGTCAAGGTGCTGTACGGCACACTGATGCTCCGCTTGCATTTAGCTGCTCTTCAGTGCGGCCAGCGATCCGCCTTGCTGTTTGCAATCACGAGGGTTTAGGGTTTAGGGTTTAGGGCAGTCGTTTCAAGCAAACCTAAGTGGATGCCCCAACCCACACTCGAAGTTCCTTCACGAACCCACCACATGCAGCCTCTTGATTGCATGTCTTCCAACTAGGGCGGCTGCCGTCGTGCCCGATTGTTTTCGAGCTTCTCCGTAAACCCTAAACTGCGAAACCCTAAACCCTGGACGGTCCGCAGACCCTCCGTTCTCCTTCGCAGTGATGTGACACACTGCCCGAGGATTTCGTGCAACGAAACCGCCGACGATATGGATTGGCTCTATGTCAAGGAGCTGATGATGTTCATAGGTGCGGGGTGTGTCCTTGTAACCACTCTGTGGCCTTGCCTTGGGCCCTTAAACCCCGAACCATAAACCCTAAACCCTGAGCCTTAAACCCCAAACCCTGAACCCAGAGCCCTAAACCCTGAACCCTGAACCGTTTTCAACCTGCTTCGGGATGCATGTCTTGGCTCTAGCCGCGAGCCGCCCAAGTCGGGAGCAGAGTTCTACAGAACCCTAGTAAGGTACCAACGTAATTCGTGAAGGTAGTTCCTTAAGGTTCCTTGCTTTGATAAGCTGTTCGTATAGCCCATCATATTGTCCCATATTGTGCCCCGATATTGGGGAGAGAGAGAGAGAGAGATTGAGAAAAAAATAAAGAGGCTCCTTCAAGGGTCGGCTTGGCATTTAACGAAGATCTGAAGATCCGACGGTAAACCACCCAAAGTACCTAGACCTATGCTAAACCCTAGAACAAATAAGTCTTAATGAGTAGAGTAGGGCTTTTGGGGTAAAACCTACGTCGTCCTTCGGACGTAGGTAGAGAGCACGTGATGGCTCTGGCGATCGGGAATGAGGTGGAGCTCCTCCACACTCAGATTCTCGACAGGGAAAGTTTGTAACAGGGTTTGGGGCTTCGGGTTTAGGGCTTAGGTCTTGAGTCTGAGGGCTCAGGGCCTAAGGTTTAGGGTTTAGGCTTTATCCGTTGGTGTTTGGGGTTGAGGGTTTCGAGGCAGCTTAGTCCTGCTCTGCATGCGCATGGACATACACACCTGCAGGCTCGGAGCCTCAGAGACTATTTCTTCTATCCTCATCCTTGAAGACATGGCGTGGTTCGAAAGTTTCCTGTTGGTAGTGCCTTTTTGCAGTTGTAGGGTGTGACGTTTGTTTCGGAGCAGGAAGAAGCTTGTCACTGCTGCGGCGGAACGGCTCTGCAACAACAGCCACAACAACAACAACAACAGCAACTACTAGTAGTAGTAGTAGTAGTAGTAGTACTACTACTACTACTACTACTACTACTACACAACTACTACGACTACCACTACGTCTGCTACTCCTGCTCGTCCTCCGCTCTCCGACTCTTTCGCCTGCTCCTCTCCTCCTACTGCTGCTGGTAGTGTTGTCAGTTTTTCCGTTCATTCGTGCCCAACATTAGTGGTGCAATGGGAGACAGGATTCAGCAGCTAGAGCATGGGGGTTGTTTGGAAGCAACGCAGACTCCACACTTCTTAGTCGTCTGGCACGGCACTCAGCCGATTGCCCGTCTTCCTCATAAGCAGGCGGCATTGGCCACCATAGTCGTGAGCCTTGGAAATCTGCGGAACGAGATTGCCTGCAAGCTTCGAAGGCCCCATGCATCCAATATCATTGACCTTCTGCAACAGACATCGGCTCCTTCGAGCGCTGCTTTCACTGAATGTTTGCAACTGAGGAAAAACATCAGCGACAAGTGTGTCAACGACATCTTCGAGGGGGGGTTTCTTGCCCTCAACCGAACCCCAGGACCTCAACCCCTAAATCCTAAACCAAACTCCCTAAACCCAAAGCCCTACGCGTCGTCCCACTGGCTGAACGTGGAACCGTAAGCCCTATAAATATAGAACCCCAAAACCCTAAATCCTACACTCTAAAGCCTCAAAACCCCAAACCGCAAATCAAATCCCCCTACAGAATCCTTAATTATGAGAAACCCTGCCCGGAACTCGAAACCCTTAAGCCCAATAAAACAAAAGTTGAAAAAGAAACCTAAAAGCGCACCAGCACCGCCCGCCCCTTAAGGTATTTCGACATCAAGCCCTCAAACCTGAAACCCCCAAGCCTGCCCTGCAGACCCCTAAATCCAATCCCCTAAACCCTAACTTGCACCAAGTCAGCCCGTGAGCTGTGCTACTACACCAAAGTGCTACCCTAAAGTCCCTAAAGCCTAAGCCCCAAACCCTAAATCGCACCAAGACAGGCCCTGAGCTGAGGTATTTCTGCACCAAAGTGATACCCTAAACCCAAAACCCCTAAACCCTAAGCGTGTTTGGTTGACTTTTTTCTGAGGTATTTCTACACCAAAGTGATGCATCGGGCCAACGACTTGGCAGCAGCCTGGCTGTTGTCTTTTAGGGTCGTGGCGTTTTTAAGGACTGGGGCTTTGGGTTTAGGGTTTAGGTGGCTTAGGGTTTAGATACGGGTTTATAAGGGGTCCGGGCCGGTAGGGGTTTATAGGGGTAAGGGTCATAAGTTATAGGGTTCAGGGATGTGGGGCTTAGAATGGTTCGTTAGGCCCAGTTAAAGGATTTGGTCTAGGGTTTTGGGTTTGAGGGTGCAGGGATTTGGGTCCGTTGAGAGGCAGCTCCAAGCCAAACGCTATCCCCATCTACCCTAAGCCCTAAACCCTGATCCCAAAGCCCTAAACCCTAAACTTTAAACCCTGAATCCCTAAGCCCTTAAGCCCTAAACCACTAAACGCCTATCCTTTCATAGGTTCCATTATCAAATTGCGCGTATCCAACCGAGGCGATGCCCGGGTTCTCGGATGTCAAGCTGACCACCGTGATGGGCGGCTTCATCCTAGGCCCGGGTTTGGGGTTTAGGGTTTAGGATTTTGGATTTTAAGATTTTAGGGTTTAGGGGTTTAGGGTTTAGGGTTTTAGGGTTTGGGGTTTTAGGGTTTGGGGTTTTAGGGTTTTAGGTTTTAGGGTTTAGGGTTTGGGGTTTTAGGGTTTACGGAGTACTTCATCTTAGGCCCGGATCGGGAGTCAGCTCTGTCTTCATCTCTTTCATTCTCCCTTTTGAGGGTTTTGGATCTCGGGTTTGGGATTCACGGCTGTACAGGTTTACGGTTTAGGGGTTTAGGGGTTCAGGGCTTACTTGTTTGCTTTCATGCCAGCGAGTTTCTTCCCTGCATGGGTCAAGTCTTATCTGGTTCTAAGCTGCCGAGTACACTGCCGAAAGTCGCACTAAAGCCTAATCCTTATACTAATCCCGAAACCCTGAGCCCTCAACCCTACCCGAAACGCGACCTCAAACCTAAACCCTAATCCCTACACCCCGAAACCCTAAGCCCTACGCCCTCCGACCACCTTCGCTACTGGAGGAGGAGAGCCCTTCGTCAACACGAGGCGCGACACTGGAAAGTCGTCAATCCAGGGGCTTCCAGCCTCTCTAGGTTGCCTTCTTTTCGTTTGGGGTTCAGTGTTCAGGGTTGCTTAGGAGGGTTTAAGGCCGAGGGTTTAAGGCCGAGGGTTTAAGGCCGAGGGTTTAGGGGGCTTAGGGCTTCTTGACTTAATACGTTTTTTTTTTCTGAGCTGTTTAGAGGTTGAACCTCTTCAGGTCTTCATGTTTGTTGCTTCGTCGAGGTTAAGGCGGCTAAGGTTGAAAGGCTGTCGTGTCCACGTCTCAGGCTTCAGGCTGTGTTGTGTTTGGGTTTAAACCCTACACCTAAACCCTAAACCCCAAAAGCCCTACCTTACAGCCCAAACTCTTCGGCTGTTGAGGCTCGGGGCTTGGGGCTTAAGTTGAGGGCGATTTGGGGACCCCGACCGGCTTTTGCCTGACCTGGTGCGCCCAATGTATGGTCCAGGGTTTAGGGTTATAAAGGGTTGTAGGTTTTGATGTATGGTTTAAAGGGTTATTGGACTATAGGGTTTAAGGTTGCAGGGTTTAGGGCCTGTATGTACTGCAACTCCGAATCGGCTACTCAAACGTCGGTGTCACAATCGGTTTATTTCTACTTCCCACGAGGACAGTTTCAGGACAGGAGTTGAATCAAGGAAGGGAGATGCTGCTAACGGTAGCTGAAGGGAGCAAAGGCCGTGAAATGCAGGGTCGGAAGAAATACAGGGTCGGAAGAAGAAATGAGCAATAAAATCGTTCGTACACACAAACCCGAAGCCTTGTCCAAACTTGACAACCCGCATGTAAAGCCCCATGCAGCACCAACTGGCGCTGAGGGAAGCGCGTGTCCTCGATTTCTTCACAAAGATCAATGCCGACTTCGGCCGTCGATGGGCCTGGTCTTTCAACACGCGTCCCGGCCGAAGGGGTTCTATAAGGATACTGTAAGGCTACCCATAGCGGATCTATAAGGACACTATGACGGTATTAGAAGGGTTCTGAAAAGTTTGTACGGACAGTCCAGGCAGATGCAATAGGCTGCTGAGAGCAGGGAGCGATCAATTCATGGTGCATGGGCGTTGGGTTTGGAGCCCAAAGCAAGTGGTGTAGCTGTTCATATCATATCCCTTTCAGGTTCATGCGAACAGAGACAAAAAGGCAGTGAGCCCTACATCCTGATGCCCTATCTAGTACCCTTTTGCACGGAACCCTGCAACCCGGAATGCCCAACACCATGAACCTTAAGCCACTAAACGAAACCTCATCCCTAAACCCTAAACCCCGAGCCCCCAAGCCTAAACCCTTGGTTGTTGATGCAGGTATCCGTACTTCGACCCGCACATCTTCATGGATCCGGCCCGTTCAGGGATGGTGAAAGGGGTCTGGCCTGAGGTTGGTTGAGTTAATATCGGGGTCTTAATATTTAGAGTAGGGTTTGGGGTATGTATTGTTATACTATAGTTGTAATAAGGAACACCAAAATAGTCTCGGTAATTATCGCGGCACTTGTATTGTCCTTCTGTCGTTGCGTTTCGGGGTTAGGCCATTCTCGTTTCTACTGGTATGTTTGGGCTTAGGTGAGCTTGGCACTTCAACTGTCTGAGTCTGATCTGAGATACACAGAGAGCCCAATACCCTGTGATGACGGAGCACAGCTGAAATCATCATGGGGGTTTAGGGTTGAAGGGGCTTCCCTAAACCCTAAACCCTAAACCCTGTAGCCCCTTATAACTTCAGGGATGTGCCTTTGTTTCAGCTCTGGGGCTTTCAGGGTACGAGGCAACTGTACAGCTGTAGCGACCTCTTGCGCAGCTTATCACGTGTGAGCTGCCATCCAGTGAAGTGAAGCCCGATTCTTTGCTAGCATGGCTAGGGCAGGTTTAGGGCTTAGGGTTTAGGGTTGCGCAGATGAGAAAGACTGAAGCGCTCATATATCAGGATCTTTGGTCCCGACACGAATTGTGGGCTTGCTTCCTGCACATTGCCAAGACAAGCTAGGATAGCATAGAGGTCTGAAGACTCCCAGGGATACGGTTGATGATATCAATCCTGCATGACCCATAATAAGGAGTATACCATAATTCCCATAGTTTAGGGTCCTTAAGGTCATGCAGGATTCGTAGCATCAACCGTAGATCCCCGTCTAGTAGTACTCAAAATATCTTCCCCCGAAGCCCATTCTGATTATTTCGACCCCAAATTGCAACCAGAACCCTAGACTCGAAACCCTAGGCCCTAAACCGACACTCTAAAGCCCTAAAGCCCCTAAACCTTATAAACCCTCTGTTGCCACTTCGAAGTCCCAGCCGAGACCTCAAAAGTCGTGTCGCTGCCAGGGTCCCTTCCACACCTGCAGCCACGCGATGATGGCAGCCATCAATTTTGCCGCCAGCAGCTGGATGCAGAGACTTCAGGGGGCCCAGAACGTGCCTGAACCACGGAACATACGATGATTGCCCCTTAATCGAGGAGTCTACCTCAATTTTTGTCGGGGCCATCTAAGGTATAATATAGAAGCCTAAGTAATTACCAATAGTATTTTGGGGGTTCCTTATTGGGATTCTAGTATAGTATGCCCCAAAACCCTATTCTAATTGCTAAGGCACCTAAACCCTAACAAATAGTAGCCCTTATAGAACCCTTTAAGGAACCCTTTTAAGGAACCATTGAACTACCAGAGCCTACTTCTTTGTAGGCTTTAATTACTGAATGCCGAACTTGAGGGGTCTTGGGCTCGCCTAAACTTCCCCGGGCCCCTTCAACCGCAAGAGGCTGAGTGTCGTAAGGTTGTTAATGCTACCTCAAAGGCTTTAGGGTTTCGGTTTGCCAAACCTGTAGTGGAATGTGAAGCTCAAGACGCCTGTCATTCACTGCGTGTTGAGGGCCAGTCCTCACAGCCCGATCGCAGCGGCTCAGATCCATGCCAGTAGGCCTGCGTACATGTCTCGTTTTTGGTAAGGAACTGTGAAACACAGTCAAAGTTCCCCTCGTTGGACAATTTCAGGTTTCGTTGGCATCGGCACGATCCCAAAGAACCTTAAACCCCAAGCTCTAAACCCCTAAATCCCCAACCCCAAATGCCACCACAAGAGCCATCAGCGTACAAACAAAACCCCACGGCGAGGCAGCATGCTGCCCACCCAGCTGCGGGTGCTCAGGAGAGCCAGTTCCCGGATGCCATGTGTTTACATATATATATATACACATATCTGTATATACATATATATGTATATATGCAATATTTGCATTTGTACATGTACAAACATATATATATAT